TGATATAAGAAGCATCCTTCTATTGCATCATAATTGGTTGATTTCCTGATTGGTTGATGCATAGATAATATATAATTTTGTAAGTTTATCTCAATAAGGCTTTAAAGATTTAAGCCTCATTTAATGTTAGTAGAACTTAACTAGCCTTAACATATAACTTAATTTCGATTTAGGCAAGCACTACGCTGCACATGCGCGAAATGACTAATCCACATAAGACGAAATTTCTCTAACTTTAAGAATACACCGTGAAAGGGATATTTTTCTTTTGGTTTTACATGAATCCTCTTATTACAGGCCATATATAAAAGTAAAATATCCCTTAGAATTCAGAAGATTCCGCTAAAGTAAGATTATATCTTTTTGAATGTTACATTGTTGCGCGATGTTTCCGCCTCCGCGTTTCCCTCATCGAGCGGAAACGACCATTTGAGTCTCGCTCTCTCGAGAGGTGAGAGTGGAAGAAAATTCGGTGAAATCGCAAATACTTCTTCCACAAACGGGAAATCCCGTCGACGGTCTTACGCAACAACGGTTCTTATCGAGTCCCGATTCATATCTCCAAAGAGAGAAATAGGCAGAGAAAGAAAGAGATAAGAAACGATCTTGCGTAAAATAGTTGACGGTGCAGCTATAGCAAGGCTGAGCGTGTCGACGTCTCCTGGTCGGTCGAGTTACTGCTTAAGGCGACGCAAAATGTGATGTTACTTTTTGTACTTTGGTTCTAATAGTGGCGTGCTATGACAACTATCCAAGTAAGCGCAATGACGACGTCGTCTTACGAATCCGGGTTTCATGGGTGTCTGTCTCGGTGATGCGTGATGAGTACGAAGAAGCCGCGAATCGGCTCACCGGGACCGGTGGTGAGCTGAAGTATTCTTGTGCCGCGTTACCTCGATCGCGCGAACTAGGAAATCGATCGCAGGAGCCGATACTTGAGTTCTGCTCGCGACATGAAGAGAACATAGCAATAATGAACTGTAGACTGCCGATCCCGTCAAGTACCATCACGGTGAGGACGCGTTAAACCCGTATTACACTACAGACTCCCGATTTGACTCTGACTCGAACTCCCGACTATTATTCCACCAATCACAGAAAGACACCGGTCGACTCTAACTACCGATTCGAGAATAGGAATCACTCTATTTTCAGTCGACAACGCTGAGTCGTAGCAAGTAAAATGGCGAGGTAAGGGTTAGGTCATTACCAAGCCTTACAATCTTATTTGCTACGACTCAGCGTGACCGACTAAAAGTAGAGTGATTCCTATTCTCAAATCGGCAGTCGGAGTTGCCTTGCTGGGATTGATTGAATGACAATCCGAGTCAGTAGTCGAGTCAAAGTTGGAAGTCTGTTGTGTGATATGGACTTTACTGGCAAGTATCTCGATGACACACTACTTCCCGATGACGAAAACCTCAGTACGAGGAACGGTGTTGAAATAAGTTTTGCAAGAACCATGCGACCTGGTGCATCTCTGGATGTAGACGTGGAGCGTCCTGGTTGACGGTGGCGAGATCGAATAGCGAGGGAGCCGAGCGCGAGCGAAGAATAGCGTGCGACGGTAGAGAAAGGAAGAGAGCAAAGGGGGGAGATCCAGAAGGGACCACGAGTAGGGGGTATGGAAGGCGACCGGTCGACCGGTCCTCTGGACAGACGGACGGAAAGACAGACAGGACTGGAGACCGCTCATTACGGGCGGCGCATGCGCGAGGAATGCGGCGGCTCTGGTCTCCTCGATACAATAAATATAGGATCGGATCGGCGGGTGAGCGAACGGGCAATGTGAGAGAAGAGAAGCAGGAGGGCGGCTCTGCGGCCTGGAGAGTAAGGATAAACCGATGAACGGGCCGGCCGACAACAATGCCCGACCGTAGTAACGACATCCAGTTAAATCGGTCGTCGGCAAAAAAATAGTCGCGGCCGCGAGTCCTCCGAGGACTGCTCGGCGAATCCGCAGCCGCGTGTCTAACCGAGCGCGTTTACATCTTCGCGAAGCACCAAGTGCGAATTCGAGGCCGGAGACGGCGGAGAAACTCCTTCGGAGCTTGGGCCTCTGCGGCTTTCGTTCGATGAGATGTCAGGCCTTCTCGCTGAACTTTTCATTGAATACGTAAATTTGCACAGTGAAATGTTTCAGGGTAGAAGCCGCCTTCGATCGCGCGCGCATGAATCGATATCGAAGCCTAACAAGTCGCCGGCTGATCCGAAGAGAAGCAGTAGTTAGCCTGATAGAAATTGAATGCAGTTTCCGAGCAGTCATTGGATAGTTATGTTAACTTTTGTCTAGTAACTGAAGAGTAAAGATATTTGACGAATAAACCTACTTGGCATCCTAATCAGAATGTAACGCTGGTCTTGCAGTTATTGCGCATGAAAGATGCGCAAAATCTGAACCCATTTACTGATCGAAAACGAAACACTCAACACAACAAGCCGTTCAACTGATTAATAAGCAAGTATGCTGCTTATAAAATGGGCAGGTTTGCCTTAGTAGTTTTTCATTTCTTGTGCATACTTTCACGGAAAAAAAAGATTAGTTAACAGCTAACCGCATTTCAGCTGAAGCAGTCAGAATATTTGATTATAACAACCAAGTTCAGTTGCTTAGACAACTAAAGTTAGTTGTAGTAATCAAACATTCTGGGTGCTTCAGCTGAAATGCGGTTGACTGTCCATGAATCAACTAATGTTTCTCTAATTGAAAAGATCTAATGCTAATGAGAGTCATAGCGTGGAAGAAATCTTTGGTGCATAATTAATATATATTTTCATGTCTTCCGTCTTTTACATGACATCTTTCGCAACTACTCATGTCCTTTCATCTATTCTTGTAGTTACTACGTATTTCATCAGGTTCTTCTTCATTCTGAGTTTGAGTTATCATGTCAGTTTTTATTTGTATCATTATCATATCAGAATAATTTGATGTGTTCTCACATGAGGTTCTGCATTATTAACATATATCCTATTTGTCTTTTGCTCATTTTCATTATTAACCTAGATTGTCATCTCTGTCACAGAACTTAATATTGTTAAATATTTACTCCAATTTTCTTTTCATTGTTCTGCGCTTTTCTACTCATTGTTCACGCAATTTCAAGCTCTTTTTGGCAATATAGATACATGTTTTCAATTGTAACATGTGCATATTATTAAAATGAACTAACATTGCTGATATTACATTCTGGAATACATATTGTACAGAGTACACTGCTTCAACCACTGAATAAAACTCCTTCAAGCTTTTGTCCAGTTTCTATGCAGTATTTTTACAAGTAATGCAGAAACACTAGACTGCTACTAGAACGCGTTAACAGTAGACAACAACTGATCGGATGTCTGTGGAAGCTGCACACATTTCTACTAGGCTATGAATAATATAATTAGCGTTTCTCTCGTTGCTCTTAATGGGGGCTATTAACGGGAACGAAAACAGGCACATTATGTCTCAAAAGTGCGCGACGGACTCTGCACGGAGGATGGGGGGCACCTGGTTGGAAATTGTAGGGAACCGGTGAGGTGGATGTAACCGCGATATAAATGCTGATCAATCAAGGCGAACGGAGCATTTAATCGATACTTCAATAATTATCAACCCGAACGAGTTTTGAGCGGATAACCCTTGCGCATTTTTCTTCTTCTTCTCGTTTTCTTTCGATCATAGTGCTTCTTTTCTCGTTGATGAATCACCCCCACTTAATGATCCCTTTTTAATATAATTTGCGCCCGTATAAAACGCGAAAACAACGCGGCTTCTTAAATCGTCGCTACTTCATAATCTCCTTAAGGTATTTATCGGCTGTTTGCGTTCGCCAATGAATACATTTTCCGCGGAATGCACGTCGCGGAAGAGATCACGGCGCTGTTTTGCAGAAAAGAGAAGAAAACTCGTGTGTATCATCAACGATGCGCGACGCGTCAGCGAGACGTTCCATTAATTTCGACGTAACCAAATAACGTGACGCGATATTTTTCACCGGGGGACGATTACGAGCGGCATCTTGCAAATTCGCGAACGACAGAGAGGGATACACGAGCGCGGGTAGGAGCGGAGGCCGATAATGTCGCGCGTATTATTAATCGCGTTCTGTTGTTTGCAATTAGCGTGAAATCGCTTATAGCTAATTACAGCGCGATACACGAGTACAGCGCGCGTTCGGCCCGCGCACCGCCGTCATTAATTATACTTTCCTTCGCGCACCGTGATTATGCATAATAGTTCGTTCTCGTATATCGCTTTCGAATAAATCACACGGATCACCGTAAATACCCCGTCGTATGCTGCACCGCTCTGGTCGCTTTAATTACATTTGCACCGCGCGTTTCTATCGATTACAGCCGTTGCCGTGGCACAGAGGTGCATTTCCTTGGAACTGCCCCTTTTTTCCAACGAATCACATTATTTTGTTTGGCGAAAACATGGAAAGTTCGTTGTTTGAAGAACGCGACAAGCAACAAAATGCAGCGTTCGAAAGTCGTCGTTTTCGTTAGCCAGCGTACACACGCACATACACACACACACGCATGTATGCGTACGGTGGTCCGTGAAACGGCTTCGTGCCGACTCTGTTCGTTCGTCACTCGAGAGTTGATTTATATCCGTGGGTAAGAACCTCGTGCCAGACCCCGATGCTTCGCTCGTTGCTTCTGCGTGCGCGCCGCAGCGCGCTCACTTTGAACAATGGAATTGCGTCGCGACGTCGATCTCTCTGTATCAATCACCTCGCCAGCGGATCCCTTATATGTGTGTGCGTATGTATGTATATATATATATATATATATATATATATATATATATATCCTTAGCTCGTTTCTTTTCGTTTTTTTATTGTTATTAGCCCGATCGATTTCGCTCGCGCTTCGGACGCATGCCGTCCATCGTTTCATCGGCGAGTACAGCGTTAGAGAACCTCGGTAAGTTTCCCGTTCGCACGCGATTTATATAAGTGCGTATAGATAAGAACAGATCGGTACGAGTGTGGTGGATTTCTTACCTGTCTGTCCAGCAGAGCGCGTCATCTCGATACCTGTAAGCACAGAAGATTTTCTTTAATACGACAGATAATATGACTCAGGCAGGATATGATAGTATTTTTGTCATACAACTTCTCGCACTGATTGATACGTCAGACTTAAATAGTCGTTACTTTAAACTTGTCTCGCGAATGAAACACCCAGATTTTATTTCCTTATCGGCTTATCAACATCGCGCGTCAAGTTTTTAATCTTTTTTTCTTATATTAAAGAAATTAAAAATTGAAATTGAACACTTTGAAGCTGAGTTATGAGCCGACAAAAATTATTGATGCAAGTTTGTACCTTTATGCCTAATTCTCACGATCTGAGATACTCAGATCTGAATTTAAAGAATCAAATTTAAGTATTTTATTAGAATTATACAATATATTCAGTATTTGTAATAATGATTTAATTGAAAAACTTACATATAATTTTAAATTGAAAAATTATTTCTCATTTGAGGTGTTTTTTTTTCAAGTAACAATTATTGATAAAAGTTTAAATTTAGATCTGAGCATTTTACGTGGAACTAGTTTCAAGTAACGATTTTGATTGTAGGGCCCGTATTAATAGTCGTTACTTGAAACTTCTTTTAAGTAAGATAAATTTCACAGATTAGACAGATTTCAGTTCAGAGTTAGATGAAAGTTTTCCAATTGAATCGCAGCTACACATAGAACGTCATATGCATCATACAATTCTATTGAAAGATTTGGACCTAACTCTGAGTAAAAATCTGAATGTCTCACGTGAGATAAGTGACAATTACTAACACGGCCTTAAATAACGAATCTGACTGATACAAGTGATCGCGTGATCAGGGCTTTAAAGTGAAACGCTGATCACGGCGAAACGGCCACGACGTCGTTCTCCGGGCCGACCTACGAAGTCGATACTTGTATAGGTATTTCTAATTCGTCGCGGTGCGCGATCGGCACACTGCCCCTCTTCGCGCGCGACCCCCAAAGTTGAAATCCCGTATCGCAGCTTACAGGAAAAAGCTTTTATATGAAATCTCGGCTAGAGCAGCAAGATCGCCGTCGTAAATTGCGCGCGAACCTAATCTCGCGGTTGAATGGTAGCCGCATATACGCTCGCCCCTCTTCCATTCCGCCTCCGCCGAATCGTAAATCCGCCGAAAGACGAATCTATAAATGACAGACAGGCCGACTCGAACCATAAAGAGAGAGCCGGATTATTTCCGTCACGATCGGGCGCGGCCGAATGCTTCCGCTACCGGTGTCTCACGAGGAGCCGTTTAGGGAGGTCACGTTAGAGAGGGTCACGAGACCTCCGAGAGCCAGAAGGAGCGACATCCTAACACGAAATTCGCGACGGCGGTGCCGCGGGATGAATCAGAAGACGCGAGAAAGCGGGGCCTGTCAGCGCGACATGATTTAAAGCCAAATATTACGACAGAACGCGCATTCCTGCGACCTCCCCGGCCAAGCAAGAGGCGAGGGTGAGCGACACGAGGGATGAGCCGTAAGTCGTGCAGATATGTTGGCTAACGGTTTATTACCGGGACGGCGGAATGGTCGGCGGGGTAGAGGAACATTGATTTAATGCGGGAGTAATTGGGCGGCCGGACGTCTCTATGAGCGCGCCACCTTCCACCGCTAATGCGTTCCCGCCCTTCTAACCTTTTGGCTAACCACCGTGCGAGCGAGCGAGCGAGCGAGTGTGTGCTAAGCTCGCCGCGCCTCTCCCTCTCTCCTTCTCACCCTCACGCTCCTTCTTCCACCCGCGGTACGTGAGAAAGGCCGAACGCTTTATTACTGCTTTTATTGCCCGACGAGTTTTAGCCGCGTACCGCAGGTTGGATCGGCTTATGGCGCTTATTAAACTTTGATGTCACCAAATCGCTCCTTCACTTCTCTGCCACCCTGCCTCCACCCGCGCGCCGTTCTTCCGCGCGCGCTATCGCGATGGCACGCGGACGTGGAAGCCGATGCTAAGGGGGTCCGTGTCAAACGCGCGGAAGGGGGGAGGGGAACGTCATAATTTTATTAGAATTTAAATTTCATAAACGCGCCTACTGTACACGAAGAGAAAGAGAGAGAGTTCTATAGTAGAAATTATTATGAGATTTCGTAAGCGAGAGACACTGACATTCTGCAGTCAACGACTATCTTTTCATTTTTCATGTGTGCTATTTATATTTTAGGAATTTACCTGATGAATTCACTATTTGTCAAACAAGATTATGCTTCTATACATGTATTTCACTATCTGAATATCTATTGATTTGAAACAAAATTAAGAGAGAGAGAGAAAAATATATACATTGAAATAAAATTGAGATAAATGTATATTGTAAACATAAGAAAAATTACTATTTTTCATTTTTCTGATGAATGCCGATGCATCAGTTTATCTAATAAAGATGTATAGATAATAAAAAGAGATATACATATAAGTACTTAAATATATTTCGAGTATTAATCTGTCAATCATGAACTTTCTATTTTTATATCTTAAAAACAAAATGTCCAATAATTCTGAAATTTGTATAAAATTATGTACATTGGTTTCTAATATAGTGATTCTTCATCAAAAACTTCCATATGTGTGTAGAGACTTGAGAAAATATTAAAAATGGAAATTTTTTTAAAAATAGCCTCAAGGAACACATAAAAAAAATTTAGTTGCAAATATCTCTGCTTTCGAATGGTCAATTTTTTCCTAATTACATGAGTAGTTAGATAATATCTCACTATAGTATAAAGTTCATCAAATTCTCGCGAAACTCATTTCACAATACGACCACCATAATAAAACATGTTACTAGTAAAAAATTGTACTATGTTTCTATTGAAACATAGTAGAATTTTAGTGAAATCTATATAAATATAAAATATAATATATCTATTTCCTTACAGATTCCTAAACGCTTTGATTGATCTCGATCAGACTTTGCATAATTATTTTTTAGAGCCTAGCGGGAAAAAAGACATGAAACTTAGATAATTCATTCCCTCCCCCTGATTTGACATTTTGTAATAACCCTGGGAATGCCAGGTAATATAAGCTAGTTTACTATGTTCCTTAACAAGATAGACTTTATTGACAGTCTATTTCAGCACAGCTAAAAACATAATAAAATTAAGGAGAATTTACATACATGAGAAGAACTATAATATTCTCCATGTATACGCGGTACGATCAGTGTACCGTGAATCATATGCACGTGCTGTTTACGAAAAGCTAAGGCGGTAGTAATGTCGTAATTATGGACTTCTCGGTGTGAGTACGAATACTGATTAATCGATCTGACCGACTAGATACCTAGCTATAAACTTCTATGTTAATCGTACTAATTTTTAATTCGTCGATTACGCAACGTCGTGGAGATTACGATAGAGCCACGTCGCCCTTGACATATTGTAATTGACGGCTGCGTTACTTAAGCACACAGTGGAAAGCGCGTATACTTAAAGCTACCTAACAGTAAGTTAACGGCCATTACAGTCAATCCCGCTTATCCTCGTCATCGCGTGCAGCAAATTAAAGGGTGCGTCTCGAGATTTGCGTGTAACATGGCCGATGAAACCTTCCAGGTGTTCAGATTTTATTGGCTCAAACACACGCTCTCTCTCTTTCTCTCTCTCTCTGTCTCTCTCTAAACGTCCGCGCGCGGAACGCAAACGACACGCGGCGACACCTCGCAATAGTCGTCCACTTGGGAAGAAGTTTCGTCGCTGATTGCGCAGACGAGCAATTATCAGCCGTTTTAAACCCGTATTAACAGTCACTTGAAACTTGTTCCATGCGAGACTCTCAGACACGAATTTAGAATTACATCCGAGTTTTTTACTTGAAACAGACAATATATGCAACACTTGTTATCGAGTGATTCAGCTCCAACTCTAAAAATTCATATCTAACTCCAAATTCAGATCCGAGTATTTCACCTAAAGTAAGTTTCAAGCGATGGCTATTAATACGAGCCTTAGAGACTCAAATTTGCGCCAGCTGACGTCGCTCTCTGCAAATTCCTCGGATTGTAAAACAACCGAGACGATGATACGAGGAAGATCACCGGGCCCGAGTCTCTCTGCGGCGATTTTACGACAGTCTAACATTCCGGTGGAGCGGAAACACATGAGCGCGCGTGTTACAACAAACTTTTCCACGCGCGTCGCGTCCCCTTCACGTGCGTTATTAGAAAAGGCATTTTCGCGGCTGTTCCTCCCGTATTTCGCGAGACGGGACGTGCGGTTCAGGACGAACGAGTTCGAAAGATTTCGGCGGAGAGAGAGAGAGAGAGAGAAAGAGAGCTCGTCCTCCCGCGCCATGTGTCGCTAAGGTCGACGAGAAGCGAGAGCGGGGAAGCCAGCACAGCTTCCGCGCGTTCCGGCTCGCAACGAGGGACCGCAAACGTGCTCTACAAGTAGTCATAATACGTGGACCGGGGGCAGACTCACACGTGGTGCGATCACGTCGAACGGCGCTCGCTCCCTCTGCCACCCCCGGTGTAAAGTTAAACTTTGGATACACCGGCTGCGCGAAATGTCTATCCCGGCGATGCGATGGGCCGCTTTCTGATCGCGCGGGCGAACTCGGAAGAACGCTAGTTCTCGCCGACAAAGAATGAGCCTCGGCTCCGACACAACACGTCTCGTGCGAATAATCAAAGCTGTTTAGAGCGGCACTGCCCGCATCTCGGGGATAATGGAAAAATTTGGGAAAAATTAGAGATCGATCTGTACTGCATCTCTGAAAGTGATCATGAGCAATGGTGCTCTGGCTCAGAAATTATTCCACCTCGAAACGTAAACCCAGCAAACATGATGACGTCCAATGATGTTTCAATGGTGTATTAATGATGTCTCTGACATCAATAGTACAGCATTAATATGTTATCTATACCATTTGACGTCATCCTGCTACTTGAAAGTATTTTAAACCGTGCTGTTATGAAAATTTATGATGTCATTATCTTTAGTAAAAGGAAAGGCAATTAAAACATAGCAAATCCTAATTTTTGTATATACGCATTTTAAGT